TGTTAGTGTTGGTGTTGGTGTTAGTGTTGGTGTTAGTGTTGGTGTTGGTTAGTGTTAGTGTTAGTGTTGGTGTTAGTGTTGGTGTTGGTTAGTGTTAGTGTTAGTGTGGGTTAGTGTTAGTGTGAGCCTGTTTGTGCTTCCATCACTTTAAGGTTCTTTCTTCATCAGCAGCTTCTCCAGGAGCCAACAGAGTCAACTAGTTTCAGCTCATAACGAGCCGAATAAATGCAGCTAACAATAAATAATCTCTAGAATTTACATCTCAAGGTATGTAAATGCTGATTCAGCATTTTTCTACATCATTTTTACAGTAAAACTACTTTACTTTGTGCTTTTTTAACCATAATTTATAAAATCATTCAGCTCAACCAGGATCAGTGAGCTTTAGCTTACGCTTCAAAATATTTCATTTGTTTATGAATATTTTCCCTATAGAAATCTCTCATTAAAAATCCACTTCAGCTAGCTCTATTTTTGTTTTCTTGAACTTTTTTTAGGCGTTAGCTTTTAGCTATGGTTTTGCTGGCTTTAGCTTTTAAATTCCATTTAGCTGTTTTCAGCTTCTAGCTACAAATTAGCTGGTTTTAGCATTTGTTTTAGCATTTGGCTACAATTGTGTTGTTTTAGATTTTAGCAACAATTTTGCTTGTTTTAAATTTTAGCTACCATTTTATTGGCTTTTGGCAACAAATTTGTTGGTTTTAGCTTTTAGCTAACATTTTACTGGTTTTAGCTTCTAGCTAAAAATTAGCTGTTTTTAGCTTTTAACTACCAAACAAGCTAGGACCGCCCCTGCAACGATGCATTTTATTTTCAAAAGTTAAAACACCAGTTCTGATTTGATGGTTACTTTAAAATAAACCTATAACGACTAATTGAGTGTAATAAATCATTAAAAAACTCAACTTTATTTGGCTTCAAACCAAGCAAAACACCTGTCCCTGAAGTTTATTAGAAAAAAAAATGCAGTTTTAAAGATTTATTATGGAATCATGTGGGGCACCAACAGTTTCTCTTTTGAAGATGACATTATAAAGCAGGGTTAAATTCAGAAAGTGATTTTAGCTCACGTGTGGAGAGGTTTTAGCAGGAGGAGGTGGCGTGTCTCTGTTTGCACATTAGCTGATTAGTCTCACGTTTAAAAACRGCAGCAGAGACGACGTCACATTTACTGAAGGGTTTTAGAGAGGATCAACTGCAGAAACTGGTTTAACTTATGTGTGGTTCAGATTTAAATGTTTAAAGAGACTGGAGGATTAGAAAATATCATCAACCATTATAGAATAACTAATAAATGTTTGTCACATAATAAATCTTTTACATTTCTGCTGTGATTAAATTCAGGTTTGGCACCAACCTTTGTCACAACAGGCATCACTTATTTCAAATAAAGGAAGACGCCTTTTATGCCACAGTTTTAGTCTAAGATATTCTTGAGAAATGATGCAACTTGTAGCTGATGTGGTCAAAAGCTCAGTTACTACCACAGATTTTAGCTCAACATCTGTCAAACTGACTGAGTTTTAACCATTATTGTCTTAGCTAATATTGATTAMCTGTTGTGGCTATCTTTAATTAAATTGACTACTAAAGGTAATCAGTTTTAATCCTCTAATTACGTTCAGGAAATTTCAATAAAATCAATTAAGTGCTTCATTAGATATTTTGCTAACAGACAAATCGGTTGGACTTAATTACAGTTTTTTAGGGAAATATTCCACATAATCAGTAGATGTTTATGTTGTGAATCACTTTTTGCTACAACCACACATAATTTTAGCAAAATATCTGTAAAATTGACTGAATTACATCTATTTTTGTGTTTTCTAAGTTTAGTTGTCTGTAGAGGTCAACTTAAGTCGTATTAACTTCAAAAGTTGAWCATTTGTAGGTGTAAGTTCATTGATTATTATCTGCAATTTTCAATAAAATTCGTCCTGTGCGTTATTAGATATTTTGCTAACAGACAAACCAGATTGACTTCAATAGTTATTGCTAATTTGTTGTGCAAATATTCCATACAATTAGTAGACCTTTGACTATATGTTGTAAATAACTCTCAACTACAACCACACCTAATTTTAGCAAAATATCTGCAAAATTGACTGAATTACATCTATTTTTGTGTTTTCTAAGATTAGTTGTCTGTGGAGGTCATCTTTAGTCGTATTGGCTTCAAAGTTTGAWCATTTGTAGATGTGGGTTCAGTGATTAATAATTACAAGGTTCATTAAAATCGGTCCAGTGCTTCGTGAGATATTTTGCTAACAGACAAACACAGTCAGACAAACTGGGTAAAAACACTGTCGCCCGCCTTCCTGACAGATCCTTCCCGATGACCCAGATTCCGCAGATTCAGGAAACAAACAAAAGATCAATGCTGGAATGTTGAAAATAATAAATAAATGTTCACATGGAGGGGACTCACCGAGCAGGGACCCGAGCAGGATCAGGACCTGGATGGTGGTGCTGAAGTCCCGGTAGGCTCGCTCCCGGACGAGGCGCTGCTGCTCGTCCAGCCCGGTCCCGGCGGCGGGAGGCGGGCTGCTGCCGCTGTCCCACCGGGTGGACGCGCTCGAGGCGTTCTGGAGGTCCAACCAGAGGTGGGCAGATGTGAAGTTGACCGGCCCGTCCCCCACCGTCGCAGCCCGGCTCCAACCGTCCATGTCGAACCGAGACCCCCGACGGTTTACTGTGAGACAGCCGCCTGGGAGCAGGGGAGATGGGCGGGCATTCCTGACCTCTGATCGCGGGGAAACAGGGAGCAGAGAGGGGGGAGAGGCGGATCAACACACGGGGGATGGATGTTCATTCAGCGACCCGTCTTCCTCTGCGCGTCTGGATGGAGCTCCCCGACCCACAGCGATGCTCATTCCGGGGATGGAGCGTGCACAGCCCCGTGCTGCGTGAAGGAAACACCGTGGCTGCAGAGCGTCACTCCTGGACCCACGGAGGAGCGTTTCCTGCGTGGATGGATGAGAGAGACCTGCCTGAAGAAGATGGAGAGCTCCTCCTTTCCACGGTGGCYCCAGGAAACTCCTCCGAGTTTCATGAATGACAAGAGAAATTACACATCATCTGGGTTATTAATAGTAAATAAACAAACTGACGCATTCCCCATAAATCACACAAAAATACTATTTCACCTTCAAAATAAAAGCCCACACGCAGTGTAAAAGCTGGGAGCTGATTATTTTGAAATGTTTTAAAAGTGCATGTGAATTTATGTTTGTAAAGTTACACAGTCAGAAATTACCACCAATATTTTTATTTTATTTAGACTTTTATAAGAAAAAAAGAACAGATTTATTTTTCAAAGTCAGTTTTTCACCATATGATTCATACATTTATAAATATATAAACTAAATATTTAATTTACAAATTAAATATTTAGTTT